GAGGACCGGCGTTGGAATGGTGGAAGCGGACTCTTCAGCCAGAGGGGGCTCCGGCAGGGATATCACGTGCGAACGACGGGACCTGGGCAGCTGTCACGCAACAGGCAACTTCAATCTTCGAACTGGCCACGATACGCACATGGACGGAGTGGGGCGTCGCGCTGCGAAGCAGATTCGAGCATGTATCCGCCTCGGATTCTGCTCGCATGAAGCTGCGTACCTGGAAGCAGGTGGCGTCGGTCCAAGATTACACGGCGACATTCTGCAATTTGGCTGACCAAGTGGACGATATGAGCGACGCGGAACGACTCGACCGATACGTCGCAGGCCTCAAGTACGACGTACAGTACGAGGTGCGACGGGCGAGGCCACGCGTATTTATCGAAGCCGTCCAAGTGGCCGAATCGACGGATGCGCTGATGCAATGGGCGAGAATGAGTTCCCGGGAGGGCACTCAATTTCGTGGACCGCCGCGCCAGCCCACAATCAACAGGGTGGATGCACCGAGGCGGGGAAACAACAACTGCTTCAACTGCAACCAACCGGGCCACTGGAAGAAGGACTGCCCGAAGCAGAAACAGGGAAACAGGAACGACGGAGAGGGGTCGGGAAAAGAAACGAGTCAGTAGCAGTCGGGCCACCTACTGACGAGACCCCGTCGCCCGGCAATCAACATCCACACCGAGTAGTGGTACCGATACGGGCTATCGACCGCAACCGGACGAATAAGGTGGATGAACACGTGGATCACCCTGTGCTGGTCGTGGGGAGGGTTAACGGGCATAAAATAAAATTATTCGTCGACGGTGGGGCGAGCCACAATCTCGTCAACCTGGCGACGGCAAAAAAAATCGGAGTCAAGCTGGACAGGTGTCTACCAGAGATTGATGCGCGATTGGTAGACGGAACACCGCTGGCGATCAAGGACGAGGTCCGAAAAATTCGGATGAAGTGTGGCGACGATTTCGGGTTCTCCATGCGAATGCTGGCGACAACACTGGACGGTTGCGATGTGCTGCTCGGAAGGGATTGGCTGCAGCGTTTCAATCCGACCATCGACTGGACGACGGGAGCGATCACGGTGCTGTGCAACAAGGGGCGCGTGACACTTCCGAAATGGGCGGAGCCGTAGCCGACGACAACACGTGTCAACGCGATAACGCTGAAGAGGGCGATAAAACGGGGAGCGCAAGGCTACGCCGTACAGCTGTACGAGGTGGTGGCTTCCGAAAAAATCGCCGACATCGACACGCTCTGCGCTGATGTACCCGACGACGTGGCGAGCATAATTCGGAGGTACCCCGAAATATTCGCAGATGACCTACCTGATGGGCTGCCACCTCAGCGTCCGGAAGACCACAGGATTGAGCTGGAACCAGGCGCGAAACCAACCGTTCGGTCCCAATGGCGGCTCAGCCAACCGGAGCTCGACGAATTGCAGAAACAGCTGGATTATCTGCTTTCTTAGGGTTTTATCCGGCCGAGCACGTCGCCGTACGCCGCCCCGATACTATTCACACCGAAGAAGGACGGAGGCCTGCGCATGTGCATCGACTATCGAGCGTTGAATCGGGTCACAATCAAGTCGCGTTACCCGATCCCACGAGCAGACGACCTGCTGGATCAACTTCGCGGGGCTCGTTTCTTCTCGAAAATCGATTTGCGAGGTGGCTACCATCAAATTCGTGTGTTCGCCGACGACTGCCCGAAGACCGCATTCCGCACCCGCTATGGCAGTTATGAGTACACCATGATGCCGTTCGGGCTGACGAACGCACCCTCGACTTTCCAGCTCACTATGAATGGAGTGTTTCGGGACATGTTGGATAAAAAAGTTATTGTTTACCTGGACGACATCCTGGTGTACAGCAAGACCCGGGAGCAGCATTTACAGGACTTAGACGAAGTGTTCCGACGCTTGCAGCAGAACCGGCTGATTACGAAGGGCTCTAAGTGCGAGTTCTTACGGTCAGAGCTGGAGTTTCTGGGGCACGTTGTCTCTGGGGAAGGCATTAAAATCGACCCTCAAAAAGTAAAAGCGATTTTGGAGTGGAAGCCGCCCACGAACATCACTGAGTTGCAGAGTTTCCTCGGCTTCGTTAACTACGTCCGCCGTTTTGTACCCAATATGGCGGGGGTAACCAGGCCGTTAACCGATCTCCTGCATAAGGGCGTGCAGTTTTTTTGGGGGGAGAGAGAACAGCTGGCTTTCAACGAGCTGAAGAAAATTTTGAGTTCACCCCCGGTGCTTCGACTGGCAGATCCATCTCGACCGTTCGAAGTCGTGACGGACGCCAGCGATTTCGCTGTCGGCGCTGTGCTATTACAGGACTTCGGCAACGGACTGCAACCCATCGCGTACGAGTCAAGAAAAATGCAGCCGCCCGAGCGCAACTACCCGGTTCACGACAAGGAAATGCTCGCCATCGTGCAGGCGTTTCGAACATGGCGATGCTACCTCACGGGAGCGGATGTCACAATCCGAACTGACCACAAGTCACTACAGTACATGCGCAGCCAACCACAGCTCAACCCACGACAAATCCGGTGGCTCGACTACCTCGAATCAAATTTCCGCTACACCATCACATATAAAAAGGGCGCCAACGACATCGCCGACGCTCTGACCCGCCCATCCATGCAGACCGCAGCAGTACTAATCGCCCATTCCAACCCTTTATTGGCAGGATTAATCAAGCACGGCTACAGGATCGACAGATTTTTCAGGACCAATCAACACCGCGGGGTCACTACACCGCATGGAAGTTACTACCTAAAAGTCGGTACTAACCGAGTTTGGGTACCTTCCTACCGACCCTTACGTGAATTACTGATGCAAGAAGTACACGACTCCAACCTCTCCGGGCATTTCGGCGTCGACAAAACATTGAAGCTGCTGCAGCGGAACTACTACTGGCCCGACATGGCGTCGGACGTGCAGCGCTATGTGTCCGCCTGCCCGACCTGCCAGGCAATGAAGTCATCACGACAACGACCAGCTGGCTTACTGCACCCCCTCGAGCCACCCGAACGACCGTGGCAACAGGTGACTATGGATTTCGTCACGGGCCTTCCAGCTGGCGCAAGTGGCAACGACTCCGTGCTCGTCGTCGTTGATCGCTTAACGAAAATGGCGCATTTCGCGCCCTGCCGTACAACGATCACAGCCGAAGAAACAGCGCGACTCTTCATCTCAACCGTCGTACGCCTCCACGGGTTACCTTCGGCGATCATCAGCGATCGAGATCCGAAATTCACGTCGAAATTCTGGCAGGAGACATGGGCACAGTACGGCACCCGCCTGCAATTTTCGTCGTCCTACCACCCGCAAACTGACGGACAGACGGAGAGGACAAACCAAACGATGGAGCAGCTGATTCGCACGAATTGCCCGGACATCACCAAGTGGGAAGATTACCTTCCCATGCTCGAGTTTGCGTACAATAACGCCCCATCTGCAACGACCAAGCAATCACCCTTCTACCTGAATTACAGGATAGACCCGGTGGTACCCTCATCGACAACTCCGGACAACCCGGTACCCAGGTCACAACAGTTTATTTCGGAACTCCAGGACGCGCGTGCCAAAGCAGCTGACTTTATCCGAAAAGCGAATTCGACCGCCAGCCGCTACGCTGACCAACACCGACGAAATTTACCCTTCCGCGAGGGGCAGATGGTTCTCCTGGACACCAAAAACCTCAGACTGCCCCAACCCGCAAAACTGCGTCCTCGATACGTGGGACCTTTCCGCATCATTCGAATGCTGACACCGGTCACTGCGAAACTTCTCCTCCCGGACGACTGGCATATCCACGACGCCTTCCACGTCAGTTTACTTCGCCACTACGTGGCACCCCAGTCCTCCGACGTCGCTCGACCCCACCAGGCGCCAAGTGTCCGACCGGTAGCAGATCCCACGCTCCAACCCTGGAAGATATTGAATCATCGCATTCGTGCGACCCCAGCCGGCCGCCACGTCGATTTTCTACTGCGATGGGTGGATCGCACAAGTGACGACGGGACGTGGGTCCCGGCTGACTCACTACAAGGGCACTCGGTACTCCGGCAGTATCTTTCTCGCCGACACGTGCCTGATATTGACCACCTTTCTTGAAGGGGGGGGTAGTGTAAGGAATTTTGCTAATTCCTTACTGAGGCACCGCTTACGCGTACATTTCCAACTTTTCGGAGTTCAGGCTCGGTCCGACGACCTCGCCTCCCGAACGTCCTCCGCGTCGCCTTCGGGTTTTCCAAACCCAAACCTACACCCAACCCTCGCACGACTTCGCGACCTCGGGCTTAGCTAGCCTTGCTATATTATGCCTAGGCCCCGATGTTTGCTCAGTAGTTGTAATCACTTCCGCGATATTGCATTCTGCGCACTCTTCTTTCATACAACTCATAACAGAAGGCATGTGCGATATACGTACCCTTATACCCCTTATCACATGAGAAGAAAGGATCTAGCCAAGAATCACTTGAGGAAGTACAACATCCACTAGGAATAACAATAGAGCTACATGAGGGTATGCTAATATCACTGACAATAAATCAGAAGCTCGAGACAATTCAAGAAAAAACCCTGACCAAAACACCTTTCAAATTACCGCAGAGAGCCAGATTTGCTTCTTAGGAAAAAAAATGATAAGGACAGTACCTGCCCTGCATACTTAGGTACATTCCGCTGTGGACACATGTCCCAATCGATGTGTCCCAATCGTTTCTACCGCACTGCATCGTATTACACCAAATTGCACCCAAGTTTCAAAATTTTCGCGTCTCTGGTTTAGTTCAGTTCGGAGCGGTACACTTGATTGGGACACATCGATTGGGACATGTGACCACAGCGGAATGTACCCTTATTTGTTCCTGTATTCAATCTGCATCTTTTTAATTTGCATGTCTTACTTCACTTCAACATACACTTACTGACATGGCACTTCCCTAAAACCCAGTGTTGATCCCCCCTCCCATTTGTCCACCACCTCGACCGAACCCTACTCCACTCCTACCCCTTCCCCTCGCACTGAACCGCCCACCACCCCTTCCTGCTCCCCTCCCTCCTCCCCAGCCACCACCTCTTCCGAACCTGCCACCAAACCCCACACCAAAGCTAGGGCCCTGAGGCCCAGGCAAGAGGGCACCCTTGCGAGGTCCGGCCGGAGCTGATTTGTCACCAGCGGGTCCAGATTCGCTGGCTGGAGGTGGAAGCAAGTAGTTCTCGAAGGAGAGGAGGGAGGCGATGGTGTAGAGCGTCAGTGCTTGGAGGGGAGGGAGCGGCTTCCTCGGATCATGGACCTGAGGGGGGAGACAGAGAGAGGGCATGGGAGGGAGGGAGAGAGTGGGGGCGTGAGGGAGAGGGAAAAGCTCAGCCAACGATAGCGACGAGACAACAGCTCAGACCAGCAGTAAAACAAGAGGAGCCGGCTCAGCCTAGCACCCAACGGCTCATCCCAGCACCCAACGGCTCATCCCAACACCCACCGGCTCATCCCAGCACCCACCGCTCATCCCAGCACCCACCGGCTCATCCCAGCACCCACCGGCTCATCCCAGCACCCACCGGCTCATCCCAGCACCCACCGGCTCATCCCAGCACCCACCGGCTCATCCCAGCACCCACCGGCTCATCCCAGCACCCACCGGCTCATCCCAGCACCCACCGGCTCATCCCAGCACCCACCGGCTCATCCCAGCACCCACCGGCTCATCCCAGCACCCACCGGCTCATCCCAGCACCCACCGGCTCATCCCAGCACCCACCGGCTCATCCCAGCACCCACCGGCTCATCCCAGCACCCACCGGCTCATCCCAGCACCCACCGGCTCATCCCAGCACCCACCGGCTCATCCCAGCACCCACCGGCTCATCCCAGCACCTACCGGCTCATCCCAGCACCCACCGGCTCATCCCAGCACCCACCTTGGTGGCAAAGCAAGCGGCCAGCCTCTCCCTCAGGCAGAACAGCTGAGCCGCCAGCATGGCCGTGGTGCGGAATCTCAGCCATCGATCGATCACGATCACGATCTCACGGCCAGGATCGCTCATGACCTCCTCCTGCAATTTCCGCCTCCTCTCCCTCGCACTCTTGGGATTCGGCACCACCACTGGCCCCTCCTCCTCCTCCTCCCCCTCCTCATCCTCCGCACCTGAAACATACTCCCCTTCCTCCTCCAACCTTTCCTCCTCGTCCTCTCCCTCCTTGCGCGCGTTCCCCCTGGCCCCCTCGCCCTCTTCTCCTTTCCCCAACTCCATCTTAACTGCTTCACTTCCTTCCCCCACTGCTTCTACTTCTCCCTGGCCCGACTCCCCCTCTCCCCGTTGCCTCCGCTGCCGTCTCTTCCTTTTCCGCACCTCCACCCCTTCTCCCATCCCTTCTCCCTCTCCTTCCACCTTCCCTTCTCCCTCTTCTTCTCCCTCCCCTTCTCCATTCCCTTCTTCCTTCTCCCCATCTCCATCCTCCTCCCATCCTGCCTTCAGAGGCCCTAGAGGAGCAACAACCATCTCTGACGCAATCAGGATGAGAGAGAGTGGGCGAACCACAGTACACGATCTAATCGTCTGGTTCCCCTCGCCCCTCACGATCTCATCAAACACAATCAACGGCCGAGATGATTCCTCAATGCTCTCCACACCACCGCTTTCCCCAGCGCCGCCAGCCGTTCCCGAACCTGCCTCCGCGCCTCGGTGCAAGGCTCGGCAGTTGACCGAGTGCGGATGGATCCGAACCTTCTCGCCTCGGGCTGTCACTACCACCGCCGGTTGCTTCCCAGTTGGCGTTTTCGGTACGAGACTAGCTACAAACGGGTACAAGCCCGCTGCTAACACCGCCCTCACCACTCCTTGGTTCCTCCCATTCGCATTACACTCGCAATCCAAATCCACATTCACATCCCATCCCCCTCCTCCTCTTCCTCCTCCTCTGCCGTCGCCTCCCCTCCCTCGCCCTCCTCCCCACCCTCCTCCTCTCCCCCCGCGCACACTCCCTAGAAACCCTTTCCGCAGCAGCTCTCCTCTCAGCTGCTTCCTCAGCCCAGAGATCATATTCATCCCACCTGGCGACAAGAAATTCCGCCGGCAAAACCCATCTGCAGCCCGAGCCCCCCCTCTCGCCTTCGCATCAGCCCACCCATCAAACGCAGCAATGAGTGCGAGATGATCCCCATACCCGCCCAGGGAATTCCCCAACGCGTGCCTTGCAGCAATGGCTTTAAGCTTCTGATCAAGCCCTATAGGCATCTGGAACGGATCCCGATAGGTGCTGGCAGCAGCGACAGTAAGAGCCGGGCCAAGGCAATCCAGGAGAATCGAGTGGAGGAGCATTTTGGAGGTGACTGGGTGGAGGGGGAGGGCGCCTAGGTGGGCCCCGAGGGGCGTGAGGGACTGGTGGGGGTCGAGAGCACCGATGTCTTGCAGGAGGGCGACAGCGTTGGTGATTGCGGCGGGGACCGGGGGCTCGAGGGCTTTTGAGAGAAAGAGAGGGATATCCAGTGAAGGGTTGAGAATCTTGATCTGATGGGGGGAAGGCAGGGAGGGGAAGAGGAGGAAGGGAGGGAAGGAAAGAGGAGGAAGGGAAGACTGAGGAGAAAGAAAGGAGCAGATGGAGTGAAGGAGCATTTTGGAAGTCGCTGGGAGATCAAACAAGCCCACGCTAGACTATGTAAGTGACAGAATCCCAACCACTAGAACACAGAAATAAAATAACACGATAAGTAGCAGATGAATGCGCCCATAACCCCGGCTAGCAAGCCTGAAACCATTCCCTAGGATCAATCGTGCATCCCCAATGCAGGTCTTCTGACACCCACTTCACAAGAATGCGCTAAAACATGAACGACAGCGCCAGCATGTGCGACATGGGGATTAGAACCCGAGATCTTCGCTCTGATACAATGTCAGAATCCCAGCCACTAAACCACTGTGATAAATTGGCTTGTTAAGTAGCGGGTCAGTGCACCCATAACCTTCTAAACTAGCGAACCTGTAACCTTCTCTAGGATCAATCAGGCATCCCCAGTGCAGATCTTCTGACAATAAGGCCACAAGAGGGTGAGTGAGAGGGTCGTGAGCGAGAGAGGGTCGTGAGCGAGAGAGGGTCATGAGCGAGAGAGGGTAGAGTAGGTCCAGAGCGCCGATGTCTTACAGGAGTGCACAGAGAATCGGGCAAGGAATCGGCGCAATAATACAAGCAACCCAGCCCACTGCACAACTGTACTAAACAACACCACACACTGTACCTGCAAGCAAAGCTCTTCCAGGGGCGTGCGTTTGATTTCCGGCGCCTGAAATTCCGGCAGAGACCCAGCTCGCGTGCGCGAAAAGAGATGGAAGCACACCCCCGGCCTGCACCGCCCTGCCCTTCCCTGCCGCTGGCGCGCACTAGCTTTGGACACCCAACAGACCTGCGGGGGCGAGGGGGCGTTAGAAGGAAGAGAGAGGAGAGGGTTATGGGTGTGAAAAGAGGTGGAAGCACAACTCTGGTTTGCACCGCCTTGCTCTGCCCTGGCACTGGCGCGCAATGGTTTTGGAGACCCAACAGACCTGAGGGGAAGGGAGATAGAGTGGGGGAAGGGAGAGCGTGCAATCGTCAGCCCCGCATCGGCAATATTCGTTGTAACCACAATCTTCCTCACCCCCCGCCCCGGCCTTTGAGGGGCGCTTCAACAGCTGCAGCCCCATCTTCCGCACGCCCCTCCCTAGCAGCATTTTGAGGCGTCTGAAAAGCTGCCAACCCCCCCATCAAACCACCCACCACCCCTTTCCCTGGCCCCCTTCCACCTACCTGCAGGGTAGACACGTTGGTGTGTGCGTCGTAGCTCTTCTCCTTCAACCTTCCAGAATCAACCACAAACACAACGTCATCAATCGTCAGCGCCGTCTCCGCGATGCCAGGCGTGAGCACAACACAAACACAAACACAAGCCCCATCCCGGGCCTCTCACAATCTTCCGCGCGCCCCATCCCGGCCTTCCTAGTGAGCTGTGAACACAAACGTCCAGTCCCGGCCAGAACACAAACGCAACACACTTGCCCTTTCAGGGATTCACCCACCTGCAGGGTAGACACATTCGTGTGCGCATCGTAGCTCTTCTCCTTCAACCTTCCGGAATCAACCACAAACACAATGTCATCGATCGTCAGCGCCGTCTCCGCGATATTCGTCGTCAGCACAATCTTCCGCACGCCCCGCCCCGGCCGCTCAAACACCTTCCGCTGATCCGGCATCGGAATCTTCGAGTGCAGCGGCAGTATCAGGAACCGCGTGGGGTCTCCAAACACAGAGGAGCCCAGCAGCCGGTCTCTCAGGCGGGAGATTTCCTCCCACCCCGGGAGAAACACGAGGATAGCGCAGTCTGGCCCGTTCAGACCTGCTCCCCCGTCCCCTGCTGCTGCTCCTCCTGCCTCTCCTGCTCCTCCACCCTCCCTGCCTTCCTTGCTGTAAGTCGGAATGAGAGATAGAAGCTCGTCTTCCTCTTCCCCCTCCTCTCCCTCCTTCTCTTCTCCCTGTTTCACCATCTGTTGGGATTTTCTGGAAGCAAAGGCGCTGCTGCTCGTGAGTGCTGCCGGCCGCTCTGCCGCGCTGACGCAGATCCTAGTCAGCAGGAGGTGGATGAGGGCCAAATCCACCTCATCATGATCCACAGACGCTTGGTATAAAGAGAGCGCCACTTGCTCCTGTGCTGCCAGCCTCGCTGCTTCTGCACTCACAGGCACAGCCACAGCAGCACCAGCAGCAGCAGCAGCAGGAGCAGCAGCAGCAGCAGCAACGGCATCAGTTGTTGCGTCGGCCTTGGATACCTCTCCCTGCCTCTCGCCCTTCTCTTCCTGCATTCCCTCCCCATCATCCATTCCCCTCTCCTCCCCTTCCTCTCCCTCCTCAACCTCCCCCCCCTCCTCCAGCACTCCCAAGCCCAGCGAGCATTGAGGTCGTTTTTGAGGCGCCTCAAAAACCTCCTCCCCCTCCTCCGGCATTCCCAAGCCCAGCGCCTCCATGTGTCTCTCAAGAATCCGGCACACAGCCTCATGGCCGTACATGCGCGCCCAGTCAAGCGCCGTGCTGCCCTCGTCTGATGTGAGAGTCACATCAGCCCCCAGCGACAGCAGCATCTCCACCTCCTCTGCTCTCCCCTTGCCTGTTGGGGATTTAACAGCAAGGGGTGGGGGGTGGGCGGGTGGGAGGAGGGGGAGGGGGAGAGAGAGTCACATCAGCCCCCAGCGACAGCAGCATCTCCACCTCCTCTGTTATCCCCTTGCCTGTTGGTCGCTCCAGAATCAAGGGACGAGGGGAGAAACGAGGAATTGAGTTGAGACGTTTCTTTGCAAGAGTTGAGTTAAGCCAATCCTTTTCAGGGGCCTGATGGCCGTTCATAGGGAGCGAAGGGATGAGGACGGAGAGAGGAGGTCAGGAGGAGGTGAGACAACGTAGGGGAGTGGGAGAGGAGGAGGGTGCGAGACAAAGGGGGGGCAAGCTTAGCACAGACGCGCTCACCAGCAGCAACCATCAATGGAGTAGCCCCTGTCTCCGAATGTGCATTGTCACATATGTTAATCCTCACACCCCGCCCACCACGCCCACGCCCACCCCGCCCACCACCGAGTTGACTTTTGAGTCGACTCAAAAGTTCACTCACCAGCGGCAACCATCAAGGGCGTAGCCCCTGTTTCCGAGTGCGCATAGTCACATATGTTTATCCTCACACCCCGCCCACCCCGCCCACCACGCCCACGCCCACCACCGTCACCTCTCCCTTTCCTTCTCCTCCTTCGCTTCCCCCCCTTTTGCTTCGCCTCCTCCTCCCCTCCAAACATCTCCTGCAACTGACTCTCCTTCCTCTTCCGCCTCAAAATTCGTCTCAACATCCTTCCCTTCTCTCCTCCCACCCCCCCACCACCAACACCATCACCACCGTCACCATCACCACCACCACCGTCACCACCGCCACCACCGCTGCTCTGTGCTGCTGCCATCATCATTCTACTCATCATCCCCTGCAGCTTTGCCTCTTCATGCCCTGATACCACTAGCTCCATCAGATCATCGAAATCATCCGACATCCAAGCGAGTCTTATCGCCTCATCCATGGCTGCTGCGTCCTTTGCTGTTAGACCTATCACCTCCCCTTCCTCCACCTCATCCTCCTCCTCCCCATTCACCCCTGCTGTTCCCTCTCCCCCCTCTGAGCCTGCTCCCTCTCCCTTCTCCCCGCCTACTTCCTCCCCTTCCTCCTCGTCGTCTTCCCCCACCTCCCCTTCCTCCACCTCTTCCTCTCCTTGCTCCTCACCTTCTCCCTCTCCCTCTCCTGCTCCCTCACCCCCTCCTCCCACACGCACGTCGGCCTGTGCTGCTTCCCTTTCGACATCCATAGCTTGCAGTGCTCCCTTATTGAAAGCCCCACTAGCGAAATTGTTGCCGTAATTTGTGATGCGAAGGATATCCTCCAGGTACAGTGATCGCACCTGCCAAGCATGAAAAAATTAACATAAAATCAATATATAGCATGGTTAAAAGACACGTAAAAAGACCGCCAGAAAACTGTTCCCGTAAACTTGTCATGTGTTCGCTCGAGGTGGAGTGTTCGCTCGAACCTGCACGTGATAAAAGCCACGTGATAAAAGTGTAGTTTTGAGACGTCTCAAAACTACACTTTTATCACGGAGTGTTTGCTCGCACCTGCACGTGATAAAAGCGATGTTTTGAGTCGTCATGACTTTTGAGTTGACTCAAAAGGTGACTTTTGAGTCGACTCAAAAGGTGACTTTTGAGTCGACTCAAAAGGTGACTTTGAGTCGACTCAAAAGACGTCTCAAATTATCTCTTTTATCACGTGGGTACAGTGTTCGCTTGCACCTGCAAAGCAGAACTTAACGCAAAATGGTTTGTGATGCAATACAGAAGATCAACATAGAGATAAAACCAAATGCACATATATAGCGTGCAACCTGATCCGTAACGTCAGTAATAATCTAACGCGGACAAAAAAACCGACCGGATATGTGAAGCCAGGGACGTTGATGACGGGGCAGCCCCCGAAATAGTTTGCAAACAGCCCGGCATCAAGGGTTGCACTCATAAGCACCTGGGGAGGGAAGATTAGTCCAGGGAAATGGCATTGGCAGCACGTGATTGATAGTCAGTCTTTGAGGAGCCTAGAGAATTGAAGTAGTTTGCACACAGCCCCGCATCCAGGGTTGCACCTGGGGAGGGAGTACTAGTCAAGGCAAATGGCACGTGACTGATAGTTAGTCGACTTTCGAGATGCCTCAAGAAGGAAAATAGTAAATTTCCTGGGAATGATAACTGCATGCATACCAACATATCGAATTTTGACATGTCTCAAAAGGGAGAACAGCTGACTTGTCTCAAAAGGGAGAACAGCCAATCACGATAGGATAACACATCATCGACTTCTGAGGCGCCTTACAATATGAACAGAATAGGAGGGACAGACGCCTCAAAAAGGAGAAAGGCTGTTGGAGAATGCTCAAACATATTAAACAGGGAGGTGAGAATGAGGTGAGCAGGAGGTGAGCGGGAGGTGAGCATGAGGTGAGCACGAGGTGAGAGCACGAGATTCTTGCAGGGAGAATGAGGCACTCTAGCATCTAACACCAGGCGATGAGGCATGGGGAGGGGGACCGACCAGCTTGAAAGTGGGTCGCAGGCGACTTTTGAGGCGCCTCAAAAGTCGATATCTCTGGCAAGGAAGTGAGAGCATTTGGTGACTGACCAGCTTGAGAGTGGGGTGCAGGCGCAGCAGATCTCTGAGAATGATGAGCATGAAGTCTGCGAATTTATCGCGCTCATGCACCTCATCCTGGTGGGTGGTGGGGGGAGGGTGGTGGGTGGTGGGTGATGGGGGGAGGAAATAGACGCATGGGGGTTTCATGAGCATGACGTCTGCGAATTTATCGCGCTCATGCACCTCGTCCTGGTGGGTGGTGGGGGGAGTGGGTAGTGGGTTGGGGGGGGGGGAGAGAAGGGGGGGGAAGAAGAGGGGGTTAGATCACGGGTCTCACACACACAGAAGCAGTCGCAGGCGCAGCAGGCCCCTGATAATGATGAGCGCGAAAAAATCTACAGACTTCTTTATCATCAACCCCCTGATAATGATGAGCACGAAAAAATCTACAGACTTCTTTATCATCAGGCCCCTGATAATGATGAGCGTGAAAAAATCTACAGACTTCTTTATCATCAGCCCCCTGATAATGATGAGCGCGAAAAAATCTACAGACTTCTTTATCATCAGGCCCCTGATAATGATGAGCGCGAAAAAATCTACAGACTTCTTTATCATCAGGCCCCTGATAATGATGAGCGCGAAAAAATCTACAGACTTCTTTATCATCAGGCCCCTGATAATGATGAGCACGAAAAAATCTACAGACTTCTTTATCATCAGGCCCCTGATAATGATGAGCATGAAGTCTCTAGATTTCTTCGCGCGCATGCACCTCGTCCTGGTGAGCTGTGGGGTGGGGGGAGTCGATTTTTGAGTAGATTCAAAAATCTACTCCCCCCACCCCACTTCGTCCTGGTGAGCTGCGGGAAGTCGATTCACTCAAAAATCGTCTGTAGATTTTTTCGCGCTCATGCACCTGGTCCCGGTGAGCAGTGGGGTGGGGGGAGAGGAAGGTTGGATCACGAGTCTCACAGATTAGTGTTGCGCTCATGCACCTCGATTTTTTAGTTGACTCAAAAATCAACTTATCACACACGGGTCTCACAGATTAGTGTTGCGCTCATGCACCTCGATTTTTTATTCGACTCAAAAATCGACTTACCACACACGGGTCTCACAGATTAGTGTTGCGCTCATGCACCTCGTCATGGTAGGGGAGGGTGAGGGAGAGGATGGGGGCGACAATAAGCCTCGTGCCATGCCATGCTTCATGTCATGACACGCTTCATGCCATGCCATGCCATGCCATGCCTCATGTCAGCAGCAGCACCCACCACAATGATGTGAGTCGCATCCATCTTCGCCAGCAGCACATCTGCATCCACCTCCCTTCCCCCGCTCCCGCTTTCCAACACCAGTCACTGCCACAACAGTCAGAGTCATAGCAGCACCTAACTGGGGGAACCTCTTGTACTCACTACAATGATGTGAGTCGCATCCAGCTTCGCCAGCACATCTGCATCCACCTCCCTTCCCACTCCCCCCTTCTCCTCCCCCTCTCCACCTCCCCATCCTTCCCCCTCCTCCCCCTCCCCCTCCCCCTCCCCCTCCCCTGTCACACCCTCTGCCATTCCCTTCACAGCAGCAGCTATCGCCTCTCTAACCCCCGGCTCCACAATACTTCCCCCTCCGCCCTCCCCACTCCCCCCACCGCTTCCCCCACTCCCCCTTCCGCCTCCGCCTCCCCCTCCTCCGCCCTGCGCGCCCCTCCACCCTTCCCTGCTGTGCAGGTGCGCCCCCAGCCCCACGAGGCGGCGCAGCAGAACGCCATTGGTGCAGAGCCAGAGGGACGAGGAGCGGTTGCCCTTCGACTCCAGCCGGATCTGGTACCCGACTGTTTTCCCAATGCCCTCCCCTCTTTCTGCAGCTATCCTCTCGGCCACTGTGGGGTGAAAGGGGAAGGCACGGGAAGGAAAGAGAGGGAAAGGCGTTGGAGGGGCGAGCAGGGAGTGCAGGTGGGAGGGAAGAGGCCAGACAATCCCACGAGGCAGCGCAGCAGCACGCCGTTGGTGCAGAGCCAGAGGGACGAGGAGCGGTTGCCCTTCGACTCCAGCCGGATCTGGTACCCGACTGTTTTCCCAATGCCCTCCCCTCTTTCTGCTGCTATCCTCTCGGCCACTGTGGGGTGAAAGGGGAAGGCACGGGAAGGAAAGAGAGGGAAAGGCGTTGGAGGGGCGAGCAGGGAGTGCAGGTGGGAGGGAAGAGGCCAGACAATCCCACGAGGCAGCGCAGCAGCACGCCGTTGGTGCAGAGCCAGAGGGACGAGGAGCGGTTGCCCTTCGACTCCAGCCGGATCTGATACCCCACTGTTTGACCGATCTTCTCCCCTCTCTCCGCTGCTATCCTCTCGGCCACTGAAGGAGAAGGGGAAGGGAAGAGAGGGGAACGGGGGAAAAGGGGAAAGAAAGGGGAAGGAGGAAGGAGGGAGAGGAGAAGGTGCTGGAGGGGGGAGAGGAGAGAGCAAGAGGCAAGTGCGCCCCCAGCCCCACAAGGCGGCGCAGCAGCACGAGGCACAGTAGAGGGAGTAGGGCTTGCAGGAAAGGCGGGAGTAGTAGGGAGTATTAGGGAGTGCAGTGGGGTGCCCCCAGCCCCACAAGGCGGCGCAGCAGCACGCCGTTGGTGCAGAGTCACAGGGACGTGGAGCGGTTTCCCTTTGACTCCGCATGAAATGAGTCGTGTTTTGAGTCGACTCAAAACATGTGGAGCGGTTTTCCTTGAACTCTAGCCAAATCTAATACCCCACGGTTTACACCACTTTGGCAGATGAATTACCAGAAGCAGCGGATATTCGTCTGGTGACTTTTGCGTCGACTCAAAAGTCACCTCATTACGAGAAGTAGCGGAGATTCGTCTGGGTTGGGTGCAGCAGAGCACGCGGCAGCGTCTCCCCTGCCCCCATTCGTGATCCAGAATGACCTGCGGCACCTGCATGGTCTTGGCCTGCCACACACTGTCCCTTAGCACACACCCACACCCAGTCCCGAGAGAACTAACCTTACCAGGCCAACTACCACAGGTGAGTGTGGTGCTCGCAGACTTTTGAGGCGTCTCAAAAGTCACCAGGCCAACAACCACAGGTGAGTGTGTGTGCTGCTCAGGAGTCTGTGTGGTGCAGGTGCTACCACCCACCACCCACCAGAAGTAGCCGAAATTCGTCTGGGTTGGGTGCAGAGCACACGGCAGCGCCTGCCCTTCCCCCACTCGTGGTCGAGAATAAACTGCGGCACATGTGTGGTCTTGCCACACCCCGTCTCCCCCACTATCAGCACCACCTGGTGCCTTGGAGTCGACTCAAAAGCAGATTCACTCCTTACACCGATTCCCAGAGGGCGAATTACCAGAGTCGCTACCACCCACCACCCACCAGAAGTAGCGGAGATTCGTCTGGGTTGGGTGCAGAGCACGCGGCAGCGCCTGCCCTTCCCCCACTCGTGGTCGAGAATAAACTGCGGCACCTGGGTGGTCTTGCCGCACCCCGTCTCCCCCACTATCAGCACCACTTGGTGCTGCTCTATCGCCCGCGTTATCTCCTCCCGATATGCCATGATGGGTAATGACTGCCGCTTCTGTGTGATCTGCCGGGGAGGGAAGGCGAGAAAGAGGAAGTGTATGGGGGGAGGGAGAAGGGGGGTCGGGGAATGGGCAGGGCAGAAGGAGAATGAATGAATGACCTGCGGCACCTGGGTGGTCTTGCCACACCCCGTCTCCCCCACAATCAGCACCACCTGGTGATGCTCCATTGCCCGCGTTATCTCCTCCCGATACGCCATTATCAGCAGCTGCTGCCGCCTTGCTGTGATCTACATTGATGGAAGGGAGGCATGAGGGGAGCTACGAGGTGAGGGCAGGGGGGACAGTAGTGTATCACCCGGTGGTATCAGCACCACCTGGTGATGCTCCATTGCCCGCGTTATCTCCTCCTGATACGCCATTATCAGCAGCTGCTGCCGCCTTGCTGTGATCTGGCAGGGGAGGGAGGAGGAGAGGGTGGGCTGGGGACCAGCAGGCGTGTCACCTGCTGCTGCTCTACTGTCCGCATAATCTCACCGCTTTCAATCTCACCGCTTTCAGTCTCACCGCTTTCAGTCTCACCGCTTTCAGTCTCACCGCTTTCAATCTCACCGCTTTCAGTGAAGCCATGCTCGCCAGTCTGTCCGTTAGAGCCTTCACCTGTGCCTGCACCCAAGAGTCCCCTCTTCCCCCTCCATTTGAGGTGCCTCGACACCAGTCTTCAACCGCTTTCAACCTCACTGCTTTGACTCTCACCGCTTTGAGTGAAGCCATGTTCGCCAGTCTGTCCGTTAGAGCCTTCACCTGCGCCAGCACCCAAGGGTCCCCTCTTCCCCCCTCCTCCTCCTCATCCTTCCCCTTCCCCTTCCCTTTCTCCACCTCCATCTCCTTCCCCTGCACCTTCCCCTGATCCTTCCCCTCATCCGTTCCCCCTTCCCCCTCCCCCACCCCTAGTCGCGCCATAGCCCCAGTCACTTTCTCCTCTTCCTCGTCATCCCCATTACCACCTCCGCCTCCCCCCCCCCCAGCCCCTGCTGTCACCCCGCCAGCTCCCCCTTTTCCCCCGCCAGGCCCCCCTTTCCCCTGCGTCCTTCCCCTTCCTGCAGCAGCGTCCGCCAGATATCCCCCTGCCTGCATTGCTGACGTCATCTCCAGCTCCGTGGGGGGGTGGGCCAGCAGCAGCGCCAGCACAGCAGCTTCGGATTCGGACGAGAGAGTCAGGCTCGGGAGGGATTCCGCCGTAGGCCCGGTGGAGCCCGAACCTGGTCCTTCGGTGAGCTTATGTCGGGAGGTTCGGTAGACTGTCAGTCGACGGTTGGATTGTTTCCTGGATGAGAAAAAAGGGATAGAACGAGGGAGAGATGGTACTCGGTTTAGCACGTGTACATAACTGAGAGAAAGACTTTTGAGGCGCCTCAAAGGTCGCCTCAAAAGGTGCCTCAAAAGTCGCCTCAAAGGTCGCCTCAAAAGTTGTTTAGCAGGTGTACCGAGTAAATAACTGAGAGAATGAGAAACTGTGCAGTGCAAGTGAGTTAGAGCAGAATGGGCGCCCAAGTTACGAAAATACACACCAAGGAGGGAGAGAAAAAGGAGGGAGTGCATTGCTTGATACCCTTTCCCCTTCCTACCGCGACAGCAAGTGCCCGCATATGCACACAGCAACACGGAACAGATATCCATGCATATACATATGAATGTACATACATATGCATGAACGTATATACATGTGTACTTATGCATAAACACCCTGCAAAAGTGAGACAAGCATACACACATACCCACAGCTTCTAGAGACGAAGCCCATCTTCCAGCACAGCTCGTGCACCACGGCCCTGGAGGGTGTTTTTGAAATTTCTCTAAAACACCCTGTAAAAAAAGGGCAACCATAAACACATACCCGTGGCTCCTGGAGACGAAGCCCATCTTCCGACACAGCTCGTGCACCACTTCCCTGCCGTGGTTGCTCAGATCTTTGAGACGTCTCAAAAATCACATGAAAGCAACTATAAACACCTACCCGCGGCTTCTAGAAACGAAGCCCATCTTCCGACACAGCTCGTGCACCACTGCCCTGTCATGGTTGCTCAAATCCGCCTCAAACGTCATTTCTAGAGAAAAAAATAGAGAGACAGAGAGACACAGAGAGAGAGGGAGGGAGGGAGAGAGAGAGAGAGAGAGAGAGGAGGGAGAGAGTAAGGGTTGGTGAGAGGCAAGCTACACTAGCGGACCCTTGGGACCAGCTCGTGCACCACAGCCCTGTCATGGTTGCTCAAATCCGCCTCAAACGTCATCTCTGGGAAGGGGAGGGAGTGAGGGAGGGGGAAGGAGAGAGGGAAAGGGAGGGTTTAGGGAAGGGGAGGGAGGGAGCGCAGGGGAGTGAGAGAGGGCTGATGAGAGGCAATCTACAATTGAGGACTCTCGGATCTAGGTGGTGCACCACGTCCCTGTCATGATTGCTCAGAGAGGAGGGAGAGAGAGAGGATTGGTGAGGAGCAATCTACTATTGAGGACTCTCGGATCTAGCTCATGCACCACCGCCCTGTCATGATTAAGGTCGCTCGAGCAACGTTTGGAACGAAACCTCCCCTGGTTTGGTGCCGTCGTGGAACTCTTCGAGCCTGGCGGCGACGGAAATCCGCGTGGATTCACACACTGGCCGCATTCCCGCCTACACAGGTCGCTCGAGCACTGCCTGGAATTGAACCTCACTCACCTGGTTCGGTTCCGTCGCGGAACTCTTCGAGCCTGGCGGTGACGGAAATCCGCGTGGATTCCGACACTGGCCGCATCCCCGCCGTCCCGCGAAACCGGTTCTTCTTGTCGCGATTCATCTTCGATCGCTTCTTTGTGCTCCGATCGGTTTAAAGCAGTCTAAACTGCTCAGATCGTTTCGCTAGGGATTCAACAGCTTAAATTGTTTCACGCCGGCCTAAATGGATCAGATGGAATCAGGACAGTGTGAACGGCTTGAAGAAATTCACAGCCCGCCTGAACGGTTTAGGTTGCTTCAAACGGCACGAACGTTCTAGTTGCTTCACAACAGCGCAAGCGGGTTCAAGCGAATCTCGTGTCGGTCAAATTCACCACGCAGCCGCAGCCGCATCCGCTTCCGCATATCACGAGAAAGCAACTTGCGGCTACTACGCAACGCCCTGGAAGGACAACCAGGTCGCCTGATCAATCGTTGGAAGGAATTTCCTAAAGCGTGGGCGCCCGAGGGTTTTGGCTTCGCATGCTCGCTAAGACGTTTCGACTGAAGATACAAGACATAAAGGCCAGATAATATACTGAACGTGTTATGCATGCGACCTAACGATTCAGAGCATATAATGATGTTAATGAGCAATCTAAAAGAAATCTTACAAACAGCTATTTACACCATGTGTCTCGCCATAGTGTTTCTGAAAAAAAAAGGGAATGAAGAAAGAAAGGGAGAAGGAAAATGAAGCTGCAAAAAAAAACACAAATGCAACACACATAAAACCCCCCCTCAAGATACCCAATCAAAACGCCCTGTCAAGACACCCCATCAAGACATCCCATCCCACACCCCATCCCCCCCCCCCCCCCTTCAATCACATCAACGTATCGACCATGTACGGGGCCTCCACCCAAAGAGCCCCGCCTTCCACATCGACATCGTCCCTCTCCCGATCCACCAAAACTACGTTAACTCCCACCATTGAAAACGCCGCTCGAAGCAGGATTACACGAGCTTGCGCATGTTGTAACGCCACCACGATGAGCGCCTACAGTGACCCTAAAAGATAAGCCGAAAACACAGAGTTGTCCTCTCGACAAGCCCCCCGCGACACAGCTAGCCTCGCGTCCGCATCCCCGTGCTGACGAAGCCACCGCTGAAAACGACCGCCGAGACACCCCCACGTCTCAACTATCAAAGGGGTGAACTACACGCCCCAGTTGCGTGCAAGCAGAGGCGCGTAATCACTCATTTTGCGACGCTTCCACTCCCTTGCCGCCACACCTATTTGACGCCCGCACTGTCCCAGCAGTGATGGAGACAGCGATAGCGGGTCCGCGACGCTCATCTCTAGGGCGTGAGCCTCTCCAGCCATTGGACGTCGCACCGCCACATCAACCCGCTTCCCTTGCAGCACCACACTATCCTCCATTGTCACCCACCCCCCCCCCCCCCGACGCCTTAGAAATCATCGCCACCGCAAACTTCACCTCATCATGCACCCGAGAAGGACCATGCTGGTGCCTGCATCTCAGGGCATGGTACGGGTTTGCTGGGTCAACATACGCTGCACCTCATTCCTCCTAGAAGAAATCTATGGTTGTTACTAGTTATGAAAACCGTGAATGATACAGAAAGGTATAAATGAACATTGAAACATGAAGCATAGTGACAGTTCTATGTTTCTTTTCTTATGTGGAGTGCATCTGTAAGGAATTTTCCCGAATTCCTTATCGGGGTTGACTGCTTCGCGTACAACCCGATTTTCGGAGTTCGCACGTTCGGCCGATTTCAACGCTGCCGAGGCTCCTCGCGTCGCCTTCGGCTTTTTCATCGCCAAACCTGCACCCAACCTCGCTCATCTGAGGTTCTCTCCTAGCTAGCGTAATTCTATATTAGTTTGGGCATTCATTGTATTCGCAGTTGATTCAGTCACAGCTTCGTTATTCGTTTACCTGCGCACTCTCTTTTACAACTCATAACACCTGGTATCAGAGCTACTTTCCTAGTTCACCCCGCTTTTCCGAGGGTAGTTTGGTGGCATAGGGTGTGGCTGGTTTAGTGACTACACGACGGTTGGCTGCAGGGATTGTTAATTCAATCCTGCCTGACTCCGATAGTTCGTGTTTTCATTTGCCTGAAGGCCACGGAGAACCGACTGCCCACCAGACGTAGTGTTAGGCACATGGATCAGGAAGCTGTCAACACGATGAGCAGAAATGCAGGAAAGCATGAAGACGTTAATGGCGGAAGTGACGACACTCCGAGAGGAAAATGTCAAACTACGCCAGACGCGAGGTGAAGCGCGTCAGGAGTCGCCTGTGGACGAAGGCGAGGGCAACAGTCAGGCGATGAGCAATCCATTGGATGCCCTCATACGTGACTTCGAAGAAGAGGATAGGCAGCGAGCGGCAGCACCTCCAGTGGCAGCGAGAACGATCAAAATCAAGCCCGTCAATCCACCTCCGTTTAATCCTACGGACAAAACGGTTACGGTAAAAGGGTGGTTGTTTGGGGTCGAAGTCTTCGTTACCGCAGCCGGGGTTAATGACGACGCTACGCGCATTAATTACGCAGTTTAACTTCTTCGAGGTGCAACGCTTGAATGGTGGCGCCGAACCTTGGAAACAGGGACCCCGACAGGTGTGACGCATGCGGCAGACGGGACCTCTACAGCGACTAATCAAGTGGCAACGTCGATCTTCGGACTGACCACGATACGCACGTGGAAGGAGTGGGGCGCAGCCTTACGAGGTCGCTTCGAGCACGTATCCGCCTCGGAGCAAGCTCGCATGAAGCTGCGTGCATGGTCGCAGATGGCTTCTGTCCAAGACTACACGGCGTCATTTATGAGCCTCGCCGACCAAGTTGATGACATGTCGGAAGCTGAACGGCTGGATAAATACATCAGCGGCCTCAAATACGAGATACAGTACGAGGTTTGCAGGAGCCCTCCGACGACATTTCTTGCAGCAGTACAGTTGGCGGAGTCCACAGATGCGCTGATGCAGTACGCGAGAGCAGCTTCCAGGGAGGGAAACCGTTTTCGTGGCCAGACCCATCGGACCACGATCAACGCCGTCCATATACCCGACCGCCCTCCTAAGGGACCGTGTTTCCGGTGTGGGAAGACGGGTCACTACATGAAAGATTGCCACGAGAAAACGCCGCTGACGGGGAACGACAGGAAGGAGCAGGGAAATGGGAAGAGTCAGTAATTAGCGGGCCCTTTACTGAGTGTGCTTCGTCGCCCGAACCCCACCATCCCCACCGAGTCGTGGTTCCGATTCACGCAATCGATCGCACTCGGCTGAATAACGGGGATAATCATGTGGGTCACCCTGTGCTGGTCGCCGGTAAGGTGTCAAAATATAACATGAAAATGTTCGTCGATGGAGGGGCCAGTCAAAGCCTCTTCAATTTGGCGAGCGCAAAAAAATGCAAGTTGCAACTTGACAGGTGTCTGCCCGAAATCGACGCTCGCCTCGTGGATGGGACGCCTCTGGCATAACGGAACAAACACGGACGGTCAGGATCGAATGCGGCGACGATTTCGGCTTCAGCATGAAGTTCCTCGCGACAACGTTGGATGGCTGCAATGTACTGCTGGGACGCGATTGGCTGCGACGGCACAACCCCGTCATCGACTGGACAACGGGAACGTGCAGTGTCAGCAAGCACGAGGGGCTAATTGCGCTTCCTGCATGGACACCTGACTACATCCAAGCCCCGTGCGTCAAAGCCATCACGATAGCCCGACACTTCAACAGGGGCGCGCAGCTGTTCGCCGTTTGTTTACGCGAGTTGGCAGTCGACACCGGAGGCAAAGACATCGAGAAGCTGTGTGCAGCTGTACCACCAGATTTGGCGGAGCTGATTCGGAGGTACCCGGAAATCTTCCCCGACGACCTGCCACCTGGACTGCCACCGGAGAGACCTGAGGACCACAAAATCCAGCTGGAACCTGGAGCGCAACCAACCGTTCGAACACAGTGGCGGTTGACCCAGCCGGAAATCGAGGAGCTGCGCCGACAAATCGATGCACTGTTGGAGAAAGGATTCATTCGGGCCAGCACCTCGCCCTTCGCAGCACCAATTCTGTTCACCCCGAAGAAGGATGGCGGACTTCGCATGTGCATCGACTATCGTGCGTTGAACAGGGTCACCATCAAGTCTCGCTACCCAATCCTACGCACCGACGACCTCCTCGACCAACTTCGTGGCGCTCGCTACTTCTCGAAGATTGACTTACGCGGCGGTTACCATCAAATTCGAGTCTTCGCCGATGATTGTCACACGACGGCATTTCGCACACGCTACGGGAGTTACGAATTCACGGTGATGCCTTTTGGCCTCACGAACGCGCCCTCGACTTTTCAGCTGACCATGAACAGGGTGTTTTGGTATCTTCTAGACCGGTGCATCATCGTCTACTTGGACGATATCCTTATTTACAGCAAAACACGGGAGCAGCACCTCAGTGACCTGGATGCAGTGTTTAAGCGGCTGCAGGAGAACCGACTCATCACCAAAGGCTCTAAGTGCGAATTTTTTAAGCAAGAGTTGGAGTTTTTGGGGCACGTAATCTCACGCGATGACATTAAAATCGACCCGGCGAAAATCAAGACCATACAGGACTGGAAGTCCCCGACGAACGTCACGGAACTCCAGAGTTTCCTCGGATTCGTTAATTACGTCCGGAGGTTTATCCCGTGTCGAAATATGTTTGTCATATTTTGTAACTGCTTGTAGTTGTAGTGTAGTAATTGTACTTTGTAGGTGGTGCACCAACTTTGTTTCCTATGCTATATGTTTCTTGAAACCTATAGTGAAACTCATTCTCCAATTTCTTCCTCCCAACTCACTCGACACCTCGCCTAGGGAAACCGCTCGATACCTAAGTTCGGGCCTAGGCTACTAAGCCTAGGCCCCACCTTTCAACTCTTAATTCCTTAGACTCTCGACATGGTATCAGAGCTGATTTCGTCCTGGCCTGTGGGCCCGCTCTACACTTCCGCTGCTAAGATTTTCCGGTCGCGCGCCTAGGGCGCGTGACGATTTTTATTTTACCTTGTCCCGCCCACGGGC